AAGATCAATGGAACAGACTATAAGATGCAGAAACAACTCCAGACATACCTGGCCACATTATTTTTGACAAAGGGGCCAAACATTCCCTGGAAGAAAGATAGCCTCTTTAATAAATGGTGCTGGAAAAACTGGCTCTGCACATGCTGAAGATTAAAATAGGACCCATATCTTTCACTGTGCACTAAACTAAATTCAAAATGGATCAAAGATCTAAATATTAAAACAGAAACATTAAATCTGCTAGAAGATAAAATAGGTAAAACTCCTGAAGACATTGGTGTAGGCAAAGATGTTATAAATAAAACCCTGGTCACACAGGAACAATCACAAGGAATCAACAACTGGGATCTCATCTTATTAAAAAGCTTTTGCACAGCAAGAAAAACCACCAACAGAGTGAAGAGACCACCACAGTGTGATGAAAAAATGTTTGCCAGCTGTTCCTCAGAAAAAGGGTTACTACTGAGAATATATAAAGAACTCAAAAAAAGCAGACCTCCCAAATTTGAAGACCTAATCCAAAAATGGGCATCTGAGATGAATACACACTTCCCAGGTGAAGAAATACAAATGGCAAATAAATATATGAAAAAAAGTTCAGCATCACTGGTCATTCAAGAAATACAAATTAAAACAACACTGAGATTCCATCTCACCCCAGAAAGAATGGGTATGACCAAGAAATCAACCAATAACAAATGCTGGAGGGGCTGTGGGGAAAAAGGAACCCTTTTCCACTGTTGGTGGGAGTGTAGACTGTGGAAATCAGTGTAGAGATTCCTCAAAAAACCAGGATTGGAGGCTCCATTTGATCCAGCCATTCCCCTTCTGGGTATCTTCCAAAGAATTTAAAACATTGTACTACAGTCATTTATGTGCACCCGTGTTTATAGCAGCACAATTTGTAATAGCTAGATCTTGGAAACAACCCAAATGCGTGTCAACCAAGGAATGGGTAAAAAAAAAAAGTGTGGTCTTTTTATATCACGGAGTATTACTCAGCCATAAGGAAGGATAAACTGGAGACTTTTATAGGTAAATGGATGCAACTGGAGACCATACTCATAAGTGAAATAAACCAGACGCACATGTGTAAACATCCCATTGTCTCCCTAGGGTGAGAAACTGAAAGAGCACATAACATCCAAAATATACAATAGATGTTTTAAAATGGGGAGAAACTGGGTCGGGGAGGGGAGAAAAAAAGGAGGAGAAAAGCAAAAAGAAGATATATATATGATAGTTAAGATAGTTTTACTACTAATTTCTCTTAGTTCATTGAAAAGAAGGTTTGTGCTAGTATTGTTTGGACAATTAAATGCTGATATCTTGTACTCTGTGTAACTTATTCAAAGATAACAATATGCAATGTATTAAACATTGTTACTCTCCTATCATCTTGGTGTTTTGTTTTGTTTTGTTTTGTTTTTCCATTACTGGGGATCAAACTCACGACCTCGCACTTGCCAGGCAGGCGCTGTGCCGCTGAGCTAAATCCCCCACCCTTCTATCATCTTGTTTTGAAATTTTGTTTCTGGGTTTTTTTTCTTTAAAATAAAATTATATTTTAAAAAAGATATGCTGGCCGGGCATGGTGGCGCACGCCTATAATTCCAGTATTCTGGGAGGCTGAGGCAGGAGGATCTTTGCGAGTTCGAGGCCAGCCTGGGCTGCAAAGTGAGCTCAAAGTCAGCCTGAACTACATAGTGAGACCTTGTCTCAAAAAGACAAAGAAAAAAAAAAAGATATGCTAAAAAAATACTGAGCCAATTGGGCAAATGCCGCTGCATGCCCCCTGGTGGCACTGGGCTCTCACTGAGGCAGACGCTGTGCCCACCTTCGTGTCAGTAGGTAACAGAACAGGAGGGTGGGACCATCGAGACGGGGCCTGTGCCCAGCCAGCAAGGGGCAGCAAGGAGCGATGAGAAAGGGCTAAGGGCATCCTTAGGGCAGGGCAGGACCAGCTAGCACCTCCCTCGGGCTCCCCAACCCTGCAGCTCAAAGCCAGGACAAAGTGGGCAGCTGCAGGAAGGGGGTGGCCTGTCCCTGGGTCCCCTGTTGCACCCCAAAGCAGGCAGCAGCGGACCCTGGAGGGAGGGTGCAGCTGGGGCACCGCAACTGCCAGGTCCCTGAGAATTCACGGATGAGCGAAGGCCTCCTTTAAACCCCAGATCACCAGGCTAATAGCTGGGTGATTCGCACACTCTACTCACAGGGCGGGTCTGTGAGGAATGCGGAATCCATTTAATCTGATCAAGCTTCCAGCCAGGCATTCCAGCCCTGATGGGCTATCTTGATGGTTTCCTGCAATCCTCTTTCCGAGCCCACAGGCTTGTCAGCACTGCCAGATTCTTCATCTGCTTATCCACCAGGACCCCGCAGAACCTGATGATCCCAGGAAGGCGCCTCGGGCAGGACAGATAGGTCACTGGTGATCTCTGCTCCCCAGCACCTGTGGGTCAGGCAGCCTCCTGCAGACAGGAAGACCTGATGTAGGGGTCAAGGCTGCCTTGTGTCCCCTGCTAGCGAAAAAGTATGCACAACAATCGCCAAAGACGCCAAAGCACAGCCGGGCCTGGCGGTGCTACCGCGTCCTGGTGCTGGCCTCCTGCTCAAGGTGGTTTCTGGTTCTTTCTGTCCTAAGCGAAGAATGGTCAACACAAGCGGAAAAGGTAGTGAGATCTTGCATTTATTAAAGGTGGGAAGAGGAACAGGCTCTGCAGAGCGAGTTAGGGTGAAATGAACCTAGGAAAGGTGCACAGCATGGCGTGCGAACAGACCCGGCGCCGGGGAACGCAGCAGCCCCGAGCGCTGTGCTGCCCTCCTTTGCGTCTCCCACCCTCAGGCTGCCGTCAGGTCCAGGCCCAGCGGGAAACCTGCCCAGTCCCCAGAGGGGACCTGAAGACGGCGCTCTTTGCCCGGTGCGGGGACTGGGCTTTGGGGACTGTTCTGCTCAGGCGGCCTGGGGTTTTGTGCTTGAAAGTCAAACCGACTTCCTCAGCTAGTTTTGCACACCCTAATCTCCTGCCTCAGTGGTGCACACCTGTAATCCCAGCACTCGGGAGGCTGAGGCAGGAGAAATGAGAGTTCCGGGCCAACCTGGACTATACAGATGAGACCCTGTCTCAAAATAAACAGATAAGGGGTGGGGCAGACTTTATTCAAGAGGGACTGCTCTCAGCAAGACTTGCCCCAGACTTGGCACTCAGCTCTAAATCCAGCAAGGACAAGTGGGGTGGCAGGTGGGGGGACACTGGGAATAGCCTGGGGAACACAGCAGGGGCTGGTAGAACACCCCCCCACTCACCTCAATCTGGGCAGCACCCCAGGCCCAAGCCTGCCTCCAGTGTCCCAAGAGAAGCAGAAATAAGAACATCAAAGACCCAGGAAATCTCCAAAGTGCCAGGCCAGAGCGCCTGTGTTAGACCCTGTGACCACCGTTCCTTTCCCCCACTCGAACCATGCTAAAGGTTGGCATAGCACCTGTCAATCACTTCTGTCAATCATATCCAGAGACCCACTGACAGGCCCCAGGGCTGGTGCGCATCTTTCAAAGTCTGACAGCCTGGTTTATCTCAGTTCTTCCTACTCCCCGGACCCAGAGCACTTTTCCAGTCCTGTCACCTCCCGGTCACCTCGGTAAAGGCAGCAGATAGGTCTGCCCTGTCTTCTGGGGCAAGTCTTGCTGAGAGCAGTCCCTCTTGAATAAAGTCTACCCCACCCCTTATCTGTTTATTTTGAGACAGGGTCTCATCTGTATAGTCCAGGTTGGCCTGGAACTCTCATTTCTCCTGCCTCAGTCTCCCGAGTGCTTCCCCTTCGGGGCCTGGAGTCATCACCCAGCCTCAGGAGGAGGCGGCAGGGTCGGGACTGTGGCTAAGCCGAGGTGCCAGGACCCTGAAGGGTCAGTCAGGGTGATCGGCTCTCCAGGGTAGGAAGGAGGAATCTGGTCAGCTATAGGGAAACAGGAAAAACTGAACCACAAGGGCCAAGGACAGAGCCCAAGGCCAAGGCCAAGTCAGGAACGCCCAAGAGCCTGACTCAGGTTTGGTCCAGAAGACCCGGCCCACCACCCGGCCCCAGATCTCTGTGTTGGAGCCCCAGTCCTCAGTGCCTCGGAATGCCATTGTCCTTAGGGGCAGGGTTTTTATTTATTTATTTTGTGGAGTCTTTTTGGGGGGCCAGACAGGGTGACCTGGAATTCACTGTGAGCCCAGGCTGACCTCAATCCCACTTCAATCCTCTTTCCTCGGCCTCCTGAGGGCTGGGATTACAGCCAGGTGCCACCACGCCCAGCTGTGGGCTCCTCCGGATCACGGGGCGCCCCTCACAGCCGACACAGTGTGGCAGTGGGCTTGTGCTGGTCTCACCACTCTCCCGCCCTCCAGAAGCAGCGGGACGGGCAGGTGGGTAGAATGGTCTTTGGAAGACCAATAGCAATGCCAACTAGGTGGCAACAGCTTGCGAGGCTGGGGCAAGCCTGGAAGGCTGCATGTGGCGTGAATCAGAGCCCAGTATGTGGTATGGTGTCTCCCACAGCCAGGAGTCGGGGGGCAGAAGTGGGAATGCTGCACTCACCATTACCCCCAGTGACCCATGAGCAAAATCTCTGTTCTCTGTTCCCGTGACCTTGTGCTGCGCTGGCCTAGAAGTCTTACCCGCCGTGAGAGGGAGCAAGGCTTGTGCCAGGAAGCACGACAACGACTCCACTGACCTGGAAGCTAGGACTTCCTGTGGTCGTTTCGGTCTCCTCATCCCTCTGAGGAAACAAGCTGAAGAGGGAGTCACGGTGTTGGCAGGGGTGATCAACCCAGATTACCAAGGGGAAGCTGGGCTCTTACAGGGCCTTGGGCACCACAGCTAGGGCCCCAATGCTCCCCAGAGCACGGGGTACTTCCTGCACCCAGTCCTTCCTTTCCCATCTGGTGGGAGACCAGCCTGGACCGCAGCACCTGGCGTACGGAACCCCCAAGCGCGCACCCGCTGCATAAGACCTCAAACGCCAGAAGTAACTTTAATTTCAGGGTACACATGACCTCGGGCCCCACCCCATGGACGTCTGCAAAAGTGGCCGGGTGCCGGAAGGAGTGTGCAGGGCTCTCCAGGCGCGAGGATGTGGGTGCGGGGCGGGGTCCACGGCGCGGTCAGGAGAAGGACGGCGCCTCAGCCAGAGGGCGGGCCATGCTCTGGATTGCCCACTGCAGGATGCCATCGAAGGAGTGCTGCCGGGAGCCAGGCTCGTCACACCCGGCAGGTGCCCGGGTCGGTGCCCACCCCCCTGCATCCACAGGACCAGGCAGTAACCCAAAACACCGCTCCACTTGACACTAACTCAGAGGGGAACAGAGGTCCGAGGCCCTAAAGGACATCACTGGGGTGGACGCCTCATCCAGCGTCCTTCACGGTGCCCACAGGGTGCAGCCCCTTGGCCGGTCTGCCCCTTGGGTGGCCTCTTCCTGGGCAGCTCTCTTCTCCTCCTGTTCCGGGGCCTGACTCTCGCCTCTCACAGGGTAGGGGGGTCATCGGGTCCCCCATTTTTCCAAGTATCTGCCCCACACCCCAGACCTCTGAGGCCTCTATCAGGCCTGAGGCCCCTGCCCTTTTCAGGCCCTGGGGCTGTACAGACACCTGTCCTGTTGGAGGTGGGCCCTGTGGTCAGCGGCCCCCCGAGATGCCACGCTGGATGTACAGGAGGGCGCGTGTGGTTATCTGTGGTGTGGAGCACTGGGGCAGTTTGTCCTCCTGACAACTCTACCTGCCTGTCTTAGGCGGGCAGCCCGAGGGGCAGAGGTAGGAGCCTGGCCTGGCTGCCTGGGGGGAAGCTGGGGCTCCAGCTGCCTCACTGGTGCTGCCGGCTGGGGACCCAGGAGCAGCAGGAGGGTAGAGAATCATGGCGGGCACGGCCAGGAAGCCCCAGGGGCGGTCACAGAGCCGTGGCCCTGGCTTCTACCCCTGAGGAGCCCCGTAGCTGAAGCACCTCGTGTGCCCACACGAGGCCTGGGTGCTGGTGACGTCGTACCTCGCTGAGGAGGGACTCCAGGTCCTCCCGGTGCAGGACAGGATCTTGGCCAGCATGGCTGTCGTCCACCTGGAACCCAGGCAGGGCAAGGGTCAACCCAGCCTGCACCCCACTGGAGACGCAGAAGTGGGTCCCTGCACGGGACAGAGCTGGGGCTGAGGTTCGGGCCATGGGCAAGCCGGGCACGGAGCTCAGGGCTGCCCGCCTGGGACTCCCAGGCTGCCTGTCCTGGTGGCCTTCTAGATAGAACAAGGGGACTTAGACTGAAATTCTCAGAACAGCGATGTGCTCCCCAGCTCCCCGGGCCCTCAGACCCCACTGACCTTGGGCGGCCCTGGGGTGCGCAGGGGGCTGGAGGCAGGCACGGCCTCCCCCAGGGCTCGGTCTCCAGAGCAGGCCTTGCAGCGCAGGCTGGGCCTGGGGGAGAAGGAGAGGCCTGGGGTGGAAGAGGCCCCAGGCTGGGGAGGGCTGATGTGGGGAGCCTCCTGCTCCTCCCTGCCCCCCATGCTCACCCCGGCCGCACTGCGACCCCCGGGAAGTGGCAGAGCCAGTGGAAGGCGGCGGCACAGTGTGCACACCGCAGCGCGTCCGTGCCGTCCCCACACACCCCACACCTCGCGCCGAGCACCTGGCCCTGTGGGGCACAGCAAGGTGAGCTGGGGAGCGGGCAGGGCCCTGGGCACGGAACCCACGTCCTTCGCACCACACCACCTCCCCAGGCCATCCAGGAACCGCGCTGCACCCGCTGGAAGCTCCAGGCTGAGGGCGTGGCCTGGAGGCCCCAGGAGTGCGCCCCGAACTGTGCTGCCCCCGACTAGGCAGGAGGGGCTGGGGGGACAGGGTAGGAGGCTCCCGACTTGAGGGACTCTCCCTGGCTCTTCCCCTGCCTTGGGTCAGGGTTGGGGTGAAACCCAGGCTGGAGCTGGGGTAGGGGGTTCCAAGCAATGGGAGAATGTGTGGCTCTGGGGCAGGCCATCCAGGAACCCCCCACTCCAGCTGCACACACGCGCACACACAGGCACACGCACACTTCCAGGTGCCCGCCAGCAGTCCCACACTCCCAGCTCCTCACCACTCCCTTCAGACCTGCAGATCCCAAACCTCACCTGCTGCACCCCTTCTGCCCAGCAGGCCCCTCCTGTTCCGCTTTATCCTGGCTCCTGAGGTCCTGAGCTGGGACAGCACCCTGACCCCGGCCCTGCCTGCCCGGCTTACCTGCTGCCCCTCAGGGACGGCGCTCAGCAGTGGGCGCAGGGCTGAGGGCTCCAGCATGGGCAGGGGGGCTGCAGGAGGCGGGGCCAGCAAGTGGGTGTAGGAGAGAGCAGGGTCCGAGTGGGGCTCCCTGGGCAGGGCCCGCACGTCCTCACCGGAGGCCCGAGGCCCTTGGAGGACCTGGAACCCAGGGGGAGCTCTCAGAGCACCACAGGGCTGCTGCCCGGCAGAGCCTGGAGCCCAGGACCCCAGGGACGTGGAGCTCCGAGCTGGGGAAGGGCCGGGGAGGGGCAGGATGCCGCACTGGGTGCCGCTGGAGTGGTCTGGCAGCCCAGCAGGCAGGACGCCCAGCCAAGCCCAGTGGCCCTTTCTGCATCTAAGAGGGGGCTGTGGCCTCAGGGCTATCAAGGCAAACACAGTGCATAGAACAGGGTGTGTGTCACCACACGAGCTCAGACACACGAGAAGGCCAGCAGAGGCCGAAGTCCATCCCCTGCGCCAGGGCAGGGAGGAGGGGGATATGCGAGGCAGGCCTCATGCCCTGCAGGAAGCCCCGGGCTGGGCTCACGCACGTGGGCACCCATCAGGAGGACATGGCCAGGAGGGGCAGCTCCAGGTGAGACGGGACAGGAAGGGGACCCAGCCAGGAGGAGGACTGCGTACCGGGGTCTCTGCAGGTGGTTCTGGGGGCCGGGGCTCCTGGGCCTGGCCCGGTGCCTGCTGGCCGCTCCCCTGTAGGCAGCATGAGCACCTCCAGGTGCCACTGCTCCCGTTGTCACCGGTCACGGCGTGCAAGACAAAGTGGAGACCATAGACCGCAGACTCACCAGGCACGGTGGGGAAACTGAGGCCTGGGCAGGGAGCAGGCTGGGCCACGAGGGCCAGTGAGCGGGAGAGCCCGCAGAGGGCACGGAGGAGGAGCTACGGCCCCTGGCCCTGGTCACGGCAGTAGTGCCAGAGCTTTGGCTGGAACTCAGGTCTATAGGTCCCTGCAAGCCCCTCCCCCAGTCTGCTGTGCCCAGTGGGCAGAAGGCCCCAGCACAGGACCGAGAGGGGACCTGTGCCCTGCTCGGGGCTCCCACAGGCGCCTGGGGTGTGCACCTCCACAGCCTCTGTCCCAGCCAGCGCCTCCTGGGCTCCTCCCGGTCAGGCCTGGTGGGCAGTGGTCCTGGCACAGGGGCTAGGCAAGTGATAGGTGCTGCTCACCTGGGGATCTCCCGCAGGGGCGGGGACAGGCAGGCCAGGTGGAAGGCCCGGGGACAGCCGTCACAGCAGATGAGCTCCCCACCGTCCCGGCACACGGCGCACTCGTCCTCGTTCTTCTGAGCAGGAGACAGTCGCCCATGCAGACCCCGGCCGGGCTGTGCCCTGCAGACCCCAGCAGCGCCCCCTGCAGGCCCGGCCAGACCCTCCCAGATGCAGCTTTCAGGCCAGCCCTCGGGGAAGGCTGGGGCCAGGGTGTCTCCTATCAGCTGCAGGCACCTGCTGTCCCCTCCCTGAGCCTCCACCCTCCCTGAACCTCCCCAGATGGTGCCCGCCATGCTCTCAGAGGTCCCTGGGCTTCCAGGCTGGGCTAGCCCTGCGCCGTAACCATGGCCACCGTGACCACCTTGCCTGACCCCTGCCCATCCGGACCTCCCCCAGGTGTAGGTCACAGCAGTTCCACCTCGTCCAGAGACAGTGCTGTGACCAGGACAAGCTGGCTGGCCCCGGGGACCCTCCAGTGCTAGCTGACCACACCCCACATCCCAGCCCAGTGAGAGGCTCAGTACAATCTGGACCAAGCTCTGTCCAGTTTGGAAAACCTCACTTTTTCCATGTTTCTTGAAATTTTACAGTTGTGGTTTATCAGAAAAAAATAACTGCCGGCTGAGGAAGAGGAGGAGGAGGGAGGAGAGGGCGGGCACAGATGGCTGTCTGGGCACCTAGTGCCCAGGACGGGACACGGGCTGCATAGGGCACGGAGCTGCCCTGTGGCGCAGGGTGTTCATTTACCTGGTGGAGCTGCGGCTCGCTGGCTGGGGCTGCAGAGGTGGGGACGCCGGCCTGCTGGCCGAGCCGAGGCTCTCCTCCAGCCTGGGAGGGGTCAGCAGTGGGGCAGTGAGGGGCTGCACTGTGGGGGTGGGCAGATGCCCAGGCTGGGGCCTCCCAGGAGTGGGCAGAGCAGCACTTACGGGGGCACAGCCCTGGGCTCCCTTGGCCCGGACCAGAGGCTTCGGGACCCCGCTGCCATTGCGGGCCTTGTTCTTGCTGCCACCAGGGTCTTCGAACTTGCTGGGGGTGTAAAACTCCCCCCCAACCTGGATGCACTTCTTGGAGCCCCCTGGGAGGAGATGTTGGGGAACATCCTGGGCTCTGCAGTGCTGCCAGCAAGGTGGGGCCTCAGGCAGAGATAATCTGCACTTCCCAACCACCCGCAACACTGCAGCAAGCGCAGGCCCAGTGCTGCGTGCAGAGAGATTCTGCCAAGCTGCGGGGTCCCCCATCCCTGTCCGCCCAGAACCTCAGCGTAGGAGCTATTTGGAACTAGGGTCTGTGCCGACATAATTGGTTCTGGTGAAGTCACACTGGACCCTAAATCCAGCGACTGGTGTCCTTACAAAGGAGAGGACCTGAGAGTGATAGCCACGTGCTGCCAGGAGGAGACCACAGCCTGAGCACCCTGCCACGCAGCGAGGGCACAGAAGCGGGCAGCACCAGGCCTTGGAGAGGCAGAAAGGAGGGAGAGAGGTGGCCTTGCCCACGCCTCACTTTGGGAGCCTGCCGTCGTGCGCCACCCAGCCTGTGGCAGTTTGTGGGAGCCAGCGGTGTGTGACGCCTGGGCCAGCCCTGCTGGTCCCGGTCAGAGCCGTGGGTGACTGCACGGTCAGCAGGCTGGCTCCCGGTGCCGGGGTGCAAGGGGACCAGACAGGAAGTGTCGGGGGGAGGTGGCAGGGAATCTAGGGCCAGTGGAGTAGAGCAGGCACCCGAGGTCAGAGCACACAGGCAGGACTTCCTTAGGGCGTGACTGACCACCCGCAGGGTCAGACCACTGCCCACCCCTCTCTCCCAAGGCTGCAGGCACAAGCGGGACTCTGGTGGCCTCCCTGTCTGCTCTGGGGCAGCAGGGGCAAGCAAAGGGCAGGGTCCTCCGCCCACCCAGGGCAGGCCAGTCCCCGCCATGCACCCACCTGACTCAAACACCTGCTGGATGAGGATGCCCTCCACCGCCCCACGGGCTCCGGCGACGTCCCCCGAGGCCATGGCCACTGCCCTCTGGACCGAAGCTGACATGGTCTGAATTCCTGGAGAAGGGACGGCCCTGGTGGGGGTCATCGGCTGGGAAGAGAGTTCCTGGCCCCTACTCCATAACGGGCAGCAGGGCGGACATTGGGCAAGTGTGGGCAGGGCCTGGGCAGCGGCATCCTCTTTCCTGCTGACCAGGGGACGCAGCCTCACCCCGAGGGCAGCCCACAAGTGAGGAGAGCGGAGCACCTTGCATGCCTGTGTGCCCAGGCACACGAGAGGTGTGTGCATGCACGTGAGCGTGCCCCAGGGACCCGGGCCCAGTGCTGTGCTGTGGGGCACAGAGTTCCCAGCACTGGGGAGCCCCGGGAACACAGGTCTGTGGGGTCAGGAGCCTTGGGAAAGGGGCAGACAGAAAAGGGGCAAGCTGGCACAGCAGCTGGGCCCCCAAGGACAGGAGCGTCTGTGGGGTCAGAGGTGGGAGCCGGAAGGAGCGTCCAGAGCAAGGCCTGTGGTGAGGGTGAAGGCAGGATCCTACCGGGACCAGGCAGCCCATTTTCCCCGGGTCTGGTTGTGCCACAGAGGCCGGTGAGACCCTAGGATAGGACAGATCCCTGCACCGCAGGTCCCTGCAGCCCGCAACCCCCCCCACTCACCGTTCCCCAGGGGCAGGCGCTGCGGCTCCAAGTTGCCCTCTGACTTCTTAGGGGGCTTCACCTTCTGCTGGGAGCCTGCACAGGGGTGCTGGGGGCAGTGGGCTGGAGAGCACTGGGTGGGGTGGGTGCTGGGGCTCCTGGGCTCTATGCAGACCCCTTTGCTGTCAGGAACAGGAAACCCCACCCACCTGGGCACCTGGGCCACCTCACCCAGCCTCCTGGACACCTGGGAGCCTGGTGGCTGGGAGGGAGAGGCCAGGTGCCTGGTCCAGCCTGTGGGTGAAGCATCTGTGGGGAGCGGTGTTGGCCCCAGAGTGAGGGCAGGGGCCTGGCAGGCTCCTCCTGCTGGTACCTGGGCTCGGGGTGCCCTTTGGGGTCAGGGCTGCTGGTGGGGTGGCTCGGGGCTCCTCCAGGGCCTTCCTCTTGGTGGGGTGTCTGGGTGGCAGTACAGGAGCCTTAGGGCCGCTGGGGGGCTTCCTTCCCTTCCGGGGCTGGCTGAGATCGACATCTGCAGGGGGCGGGGTGCCAGGCTCAGAGCCGTCCCCAGGGCAGGGAGTAGGGGTGGCCCCGAACTGGACACCCTCGGGTAAGGGGGCTGAGGCTTCGCTCTCTGTCCCTCAGGGCCCGGTGGTCCTAGGGACTCTCCCGGCACCTCCCCAAACACCTCCCTCTCCTGTTGTACCCCACGCTGGCACTGCCCAGCCCACCTTTGGGGAAGCTGTCCAGGATGGGCCGCAGCCCGCCGTACCGCTGCAGGTGGTAGTCTTTGAAGAGGACCCTCCAGAAGTCGGCGATGGCCGCGGCGTCCTGGGCCAGCAGCCAGGACAGCAGGGCATGGAAGGCCTGGGGACAGCCCTCCTTCTCCATCAGCCGCAGTGTCTCCTGGGACAACAGCTGTGTGGGGCCCTGCCTGGCACCCGCCTCCTGCTGCCCCCCACCTGGCCCCGAGGGGTCGCTCCCTGGGGTGGGCGTGGGCTTGGCGCAGAGTGCGGGTGGGGGCTGGAACAAGTTTGCGGAGGCTCCCGGGTTCCAGGAAAGGCTGGGGGCGCTGGGGCTGCCTTGTGGGTGGGTGCGGGGTGGCACAGGGCAGGTGGGGGCTGGGAGGGGGCCCACCTGCCATGATCTTCAGGGGACCACCCCCAGTTTAGAAGAGGAGGGGGAGGCTGGGGACCCGGGGTCGGGGGTCCACAGGGAACCAGCCCTGGGCTTCATCCCCCAGCGCGCGGGTGGGGTCGGGGGTCGGGGTCCACCTGGAACTTGTCCTCGGGGACGACGTCGTGGTCGGCGAGCGAGTGCAGCAGCGGGAAGGCGCTGTCCACGGCCACTGCGATCTCCGTGCGGTGCAGCCTCAGCAGGCGGCGCAGCACCACGTCCCCGCCCGCGCGGGCCTCGCCGGCCATGGTGTCCCCGGCCCCGCGCGGGACAGCTGCGCCGCCTGCCGGCCCCGCCGCGCGCACACCTGGCGGGCACCAGCGCCCGGCTGTTATACTGCCCGGCCCAGGAAAGAGCAAAGGCCTCTGGTCCGGGAGCCAATCAGGGCCGGAGATCCCACGGACCGAGCGGAACAGCTGCTGACCTGGTAAGGATGTTCCTACGCAGGAAGCTCCTAACCCTGACGGCCGGCCCTGCTCCCCGGGGCAAGGGCAAAGCCCGCTTCTGGGGTCCGAGCTGCTCCTGGGCCGCCCCGATGCGCTGCGCTGGACACCTGATGGCTGCTTAGGAAACCCCTGGAGGGGCGGCGGGATTGGGCAGTGGTCTCTGGGGGACCTCCACGTTGCTGTGCCGTCCCTTGCAGGTGTCCCAGACCTGGGGCACAGCGGGAGGAGACAGGATGTCGTGGGTGCTGGTGCGGGTATCCACTGAGCAGGGACCAAGTCCGGGCACTTAGAAAACGAAGTCACAGGGAGGGCGGCTGATGCCAGGCTCGGGAGCTCTGGTCCTTGTCCCTGTGGACGGGGCCACCCCAAGGGCCTGGTGGAGGCAGGAACAGAGCTGAGGGACGGTGGCTCTTGGAGGTTAGGCTTTTTTTTTCTTTTTTTCCAGTACCAGGAATCGAACTCACAACCTTGCACTTGCCAGGCAGGCGCTGTGCCACTGAGCTAAACCCCCAGCCCTGGTGGCTCTTGGAGGAATGGTGCCACTGCAGACACTGGGCGCAGCCTCCCGGAGGGCGGCTGGAGCAGAGGAGCACAGGTCCTCGATGGACGCTGGTGCAGTGTCCCCAGCCGGCACCGTGTGGTAGGTACAGGGCCTGGATCTTTGGGGACACAGCTCAAGGTGGTCCTGCAGAATCTGGCTTAGGAGCCGGGCGTGGTAGCACATGCCTGTAATCCCAACACTCAGGAGGCTGAGGCAGGAGGATCATTGTGAGTTCGAGACCAGCCTGGGCTACAAAGTGAGCTCAAGGCCAGCCTGAACTGCATAGCGAGACCCTGTCTCAAAAAGACCAAAAAAAAAGAATCTGGCCTAAGAGCCATCAGGTCAAGACCATGCTAGGGTGGGGACCTGTCCATGGTGGATAGAGGCACAGAGTGGACACAATGCCAGGAGGCCTAGGGCAGCAGGACACAGGAGAAGGGCCATCACCAGACTGGACAGAGGGCCAGCCCCGGGAGGGCAGTGCCAGGATCTCATGCTGGGGGGACAGCAGGTGAGATGCAGGAAGCCTGGTGGGGTCCTCCTCCAGCCCTTAGGCCCCAGGTCCCTGAGAGTCCTCCCAGACCTCAGTGGTATCTGGGAACCAGACAGGAGGGAGACACACGGTCAGCCTGGGGAGCAGGCGCTGGGGAGTTGGGGAGCTGTGGGGGGATCTGGTGTCATCTCAGAGCCAGGCCAAGTGTGGTTGTCAGGAAAGTGGTTGAAGCCAGGCATGGTGGCACACCCCTATATTCCCAGCACTCGGGAGGCTGAAGCAGGAGGCTGCTGCTGGCCTCCCCCTCTGTCTCTCCCACTGTGTCTACTGCAGAAACCTTACAGAAGGTGGAAGTCACGGCCCGCAGACATGACCCTGCCTGTTCTGGAATGTTCTGTTCACTAAAGGCGCTGGGGCCTCTGGGCCCCAGAGGTCGCATGTATGGCACTCAGGTGCCAGAGACCAGGGAGGAGCAGGTGCTGCGGCTCACGTGGCTTAGCTTCCCCCTCCCGACTTCAGCACCCTGCTCATTTTTGACTTTGGTGTTTGTCGGTCCACGTTGGCAGCCCGTAATGATTCCGCGCCTTGTCGGGAGCTGCTTCACGTCCATACCATCTCCACTCTTCAAGGCCCCTTTGTCCGCTAGTTTCGTGTGCTGAATCATCTAACTGAGATGTTTTTGGTTGTTGGTGGCATGCCTTCTTTCTAAATCAAGGTTTTACTGTCACTTAACGTCTTCGCGGGGGCAGTATTGGAGATGGACCCAGGGTGCTCTGGCACTGAGCTACGTCCCCAGCACTTTTCATTTGTTATTTTGAGAAGGGATCTCATGGGGTTTCCCAGGCCGGCCTCGAGGCTGTGATCTTCCTGGCTCAGGGCCCCAAGAAGCTGGGATTATAGGCGGGTCCCGCCGTGTCTGGCAAGGGAGGTCTTTTAATGGAACAATTGATTTTCTTCATGTCATAAAAATAAAGAGTTTTTTCATCTTACTTTGTTTGCCTTTTTTTAACTTATAGTTTCATATCCTTTTTCTTATATTTGCTGGTTTGATGGGCTATGTTGGATTCCTCTTTTTAAAAATGCTTATTACTTTGGACATTCTGTAATTTCCGTCCCAGCAGTGATTACCTTTTCTTTGTACTCGTAATTAGAAGTGTTCATAGGCCTTTCATTGTTTTACAATAAGGTGCCTGTGGAAATCTCATAATCTGACTTTGCTGTGATCAGTTCCACTCCCCTTGTCCCTTGGTCCTTCCTCAGCGCACTCTAATGTCACAGCCTGCAGCCCAGGGACTTTCTCTCCCCAGATGGGGACTCTCAGACAGAAGGAACCGGTAAAGGGGAATTTAAAACCGCCAAGCAAGATCAACGACTGCACCCTGAGGTCTGAAAGCCCCGCGTGCTCTCAGGTGCACCTGTGTCACAGGTACGGGCCTGACCGTTGCGGGCAGGCATCCATCAGCCTCTCACCGGAGGCCAACAGAGGCCCCGTAGAGTTTCAGACTTTCCACCACCCTGTGGGGGTTTCTGCCACGGACAGAGCCAGCCGGTGACCTGGAGCTGGCGGGCGATGCCTCAAGGGGTTGAGGCTGGTGTTGAGGTTGGGTCCTCTAAGAAGCTTCAGCTCTGTCTGTGCTGCAGTGGCCTCACTGGGCCAGTATCATAGCAGTGGCCAGCGCCCGCCCGCTCCTGTCCCTCTACCACATGGATAGCAAAGGTCTCCGGGCCAGTCAGGGCAGGCAAGGGAGCACCTGCCTTATGGGGGAGAGACGGGACGGAAACCAACGTCCCTCTGAAGGGGCAGGGGGGAGGCCAGACACACTTCTGCCTCGGGGACAGCAGGGACCTGTCCCTTGGTTCTCCAGGCTCTGGCCCCGCCGGTGCACGCAGGCTGATCGGAAGGCTAATCAGCCCACACCCCGGGGAAGGTCTGGCCTTGGGTAGAAGGCTGGTGTATGTAACACGGAATGGCTCTCAGCGGTGCCCCCTTTTAAGGGAAAATTTTTGCTGCATCTGGGCATTCTAGACATAAAGAAGCTGCTGAAGTATGATAGAGTTAGAAAATCATATCCTGGAGCCAGGTGTGGTGGCACACACCTGTAATACCAGTGGTGGGGAGGCTGAGGCAGGAGGATCGACACTAGTGCAAGGCCATCCTGGGCTATATAGTGAGACCCTGCCTCAAAAAAAAGAATAATGAAATCACATCCTGTAAATGCCCATTTGTTTAAGAAAAATAATCACAGAAAAGGAAAATCCTCTGGAAGTGACTTTGAAATAGAATTTGTCAGACTGAGGGAGGATAGAGGAAATAAAAAGGTAAAAAGGAGACAGGGAAGTCATAACTAAAAATTTTTGTTCTGTTTTGTTTTGTTTTGTTTTGAGACAGGGTCTAGCTGTGTAGTTCAGGCTGGTCTTGAACTCACTATGTAGCCCAGGGTGGCTTTGAACTCAAATCGATCTTCCTGCCTCAGCCTCCATTGCGCTGCGATTACAGGTGTGTGCCACCACACCCAGCAAAAGTGGACTTTCAAGAAGCCTTTGACTTCTTCAACTCAGTCCAAGTCAGCCAAGCTGCCCCACATCAGATTCCCTTGGTCAAATTTAGGCTCCTTTCCCTCCAGACTCATCACATCCGGCCTCCACCCTGCCCCCTCAGAGGGGTGCTGGTTTCTGTCCCGTCCCTCCCCCATAAGGCAGGAGCTCCCCTGCAGCCCTGACCCACCCAGAGACTGCCTTTGCTCTCCATGTCGGAGAGGGACAGGAGCGGTGGGTGCTGTGATCCTGCTGCTGTGATCCCAGCCCTGTGAAGTCTCTTGGGAGACCCAGCCTCAACCCCACCCTCAGTTGCATGAAGAATTGCCCACCAGCTCCAGGTCATGGAACTGGAAGTTCATAAATTGACTTCAGCAAAAACATGAGGAGCAGGAGGCTGATCGCAACACAAAGGTACAGGTAGGTGGAGAGAATCCAAGGAACACTCACACCATCCTTGTAAAGAAGGAGCGACCGGGCTCGGCTGTAGGTGAATGGGCCACGCCCTCCGCGGGGACACCCACCTTTCCTGAGCTTCCAGCCTGCAAGAGAAGTGAAGTGCTCCCACTCTGGCAAACAAGCGCCTCTCTCAGGAACCACAAGCTGTTCCTCCAAGGGCGCAATTTGACATTTCTGCCTGGCAAACTTTCCTGACCCTCACTGAGGATGCCAAGGCCGACCGCCATCCATGTCATTCAGTGTTAGGGGACCTGGAGCAGGAGGAAGGGAAGGAGGGTCTGAAGGAGACACTGTTCATATTGTCACTTGTGTGTTGTGTGTGTTTTATTTACCACTCACTTATTTTTTTTGTTTTGTTTTTGTTTTGTTTTGTCTTTTTGAGACAGGGTCTCGCTATGCAGTTCAGGCTGGCTTTGAGCTCAGTTTGTAGCCCAGGTTGGCCTCGAACTTGCAACGATCCTCCTGCCTCAGCCTCCCAAGTGCTGGGATTACAGGTGTGTACCACCATGCCCAGTTATCTACCATTTATATATACAGTGAAGCCTTGGTTTGGGAGCATTAATTCGTTCCTGAAACATGCTTGTAAGCCAAAGCACTTACACACCAAAGCGAATTCCCCTATAAGAATAATGGAAACTCCGGTGATTTGCTCCACCACCCAAAAATATTCACATAAAAATGATTACAAAGCCAGGTGTGATGGTACATGTCTGTAATCCCAGCATTCAGGAGGCTGAAGTAGGAGGATCGCTGCAAGTTCAAGGCCAGCCTGGTCTACATAGTGAGACCCTGTGTCAGCCCCCCATGATTACAATGCTGTAATATAGTACAAAATAATAAAATAAAACATATAAAGCAAAATAAATTAAGCTTTGAAAACCTCCATGGCTGGTGTAAAGGAGACAAGAGAGAGGAGGGTTACTGTGCAGGACTAAAGGAATCACTGCCACCCCTCGGTTCAACGGGATCCTTTTCTTCTCATGCAGCTTTGACAAGGAATCTATCCAATGACACTTGCTCTGCCTCTTCTTGAGGATTTTGTGGAAATGTGACATCGCATTGTTATCAAACAGATTCATCACTCGAACTGCTACAGCCTCATTTGGGTGCTGCTTTTCTACAGAATTTTGCACTGCTTCTTTTTTTTGTGTGTGTGTGTGTTTTAGACAGGGTTTTGCTATGCAGTTCAGGCTGGCCTTGAGCTCCCTTTGTAGCCCAGGCTGGTCTCAAACTCATGACAATTTCCCTGCCTCAGCCTCCCGAGTGCTGGGATTATAGGCGTGCGCCACCATACCCAGCATTTGCACTGCTTCTCACACTTTACACATCTCCCTAATTTCATGTGAAGTGAGGGGCTCCTCCACCTTTTTCTTCTCCTCCTCTGTAGACAAGATCTCCTCCATAACCTCTTGCTGCTCGAGACCATAATCCACAATCCCCTGGGCGGCGGGGACTGCTGGCTCAGTTGTGATCATGTATTCAGCATCACTGTCTTGGTTACTTTTCTCTCGTTGCTGAGACAAAATGCCCAGTGCCCAAAATTAAGGAAGGAAAGGTTTATTTAGCTCAGTTTGTGGAGGTTTCAGTCCATACTTGGCTGGCTCCGAGGCAGGGTGGCACATGGCAGAGGGCAACCCTTCATGGCAGTGAAAGACAGCAAAAGCAGCCAGAGTGAAAGGGGGGAGTGGCAGAGCTAGCAGGCCTCTTTCCCTCCCTTATACTGTAAGCAGGCTGCCTCCACCGGTGGGGTGTGTAGCACTCACACCCTCTGCGTGTCCTCCTCCTGCACAGGCTCAGGGTGATACAAGGGAAGCACCCTGGCTCCCTGCTGAGTCACATAGTTGTCCTTCTAAACTTCTCACATTGACACAGTGGACAACATCTAGAGCCCTAAGGGTGTGTCCTTCTCACCCCAGGATATAGCACTGCTGAGTTACTTAGTCAAGCCTCTAGACTCCTCAAGTTGACACAGTGTATCCACCGTAACAATCATATACTTCTCATACTGCAAGACAACTCTTGTGTCTTAGTTACTTTTCTCATTGCTGAGACAAAATATCTGACACCCAAAGGGGAAAAGGTCCCTTTAGCTCAGTTTGTAGAGGTTTCAGTCCATAATCGGCTGGCTCCAGGCAGGGTGGTACATGGCAGAGGGGCAAGAGATCCTGGCAGTGGGAAGCAACAGAAGAGAAAGTGCGATGAGCCTCTTTCTGTCCCTTACATTGTATCCAGCCTACCGGGATCAGGGCAGTGCCAACCCAGGCAGTGGACTGACCCAGAAAGCCACCCTTAGTGAATCAATCACATACTCTAGATTTGGCAACTTCTGAAAACACTGTGACACATGAGGCTTTGGGGGAACATCTAGACACAGCCATAACATTCCACCTCAGGCCCCTAAAGACTCGTGCGCATCCCTTTATGCAAAAGACATTTAGTCCATCTGCAAGAGTTGCCAAAGTCCTAACAGTTTCAGCACTGCTGAAGAGTCCAAGTAAAAAGTCTCCTCTGAGATGTAAGATGAACTCTTAGCCCTGAGCCCCTCTACAAATGAAAAGAAGGTTAAACACTTTAAATACTCCATGGGGCAAGACAGACATTTTGATTCAAAGTTACAAACAGGGATACAAAGGAATGGGACAAAGCAAGTCCAAAATCCAGCAGGGCAAATATTAAGTCCTGTAGTTCTAGGTGCAGCATGCAAGGCAATCTATGGCAAGATGAGACCTCCAAAGGGGTGGCTCTGCCCCTACAGCACTTCCAGTGGTTGAAACTCCCATGGCTTTTCTCTTGGGCCTGCTTTGCTCCCTCCTTGCAGTTTTCCTCAGATGATCCATGCGCCTGTTTTGTGGTTGATACACTGTGTCAACCTGAGTGTAGAGGCTTGGCTAAGTGACTCAGCGGTTCTGCATCCTGGGGTGAAAAGGACATGCCCTTCCTGCTCTAGGATGCTTTTTGGTATTCACCCTCAGCCTGTGCAAGAGGAGGGCACAGA